TGATTTTGATGGGTCGATCCGTTTATATGAAGACACGTGAAATCTCTCTATGAGTGAGTGAGTGAGTGAGTGAGTCCGCTGCTGCAGTATCACCACAGCAATACTGCTACTGTGGCACACGACGCTACATGCCCCTGGGTTATGTAAACACGCGCAGGCCTCTCATCTCCCTTTATTGCTCGACGATATTTGCAAACAAGAAAATAGAGCAGCGCTTGCGAAGTTGTTTTCATCGGGGTTACGGGGCTGAAAACTAGCTGTTGGGCAGACGAGCCAGTCTGCCGGACTGAAACTAAAAGCTTCGCAAACAAACATCGCGCAGTTTTTTTTTCAGAAAAGAAATTCTACATCACGCATACGGCTCAATTCCGAAAACACTGCTCCAAGAGAGAAAAGATTTCCAAGTCTGGAGTTTACACGGAGCCATTTCAGACTGTCACGACGCAAACCAAAGCGAATCGTATTTTGTCAGTAAGACCCAGTGCTTGCGCGAAACATCTCCTTCAAAACTTGGTATACATTAAAAACAGTTGGCAGGGATCCACACAACTACCATTCACACGAAAACGATTCAATGGCGGAGCAAAATACGCGCAAAACACGCACGCAAGTGAAATTTAATAAAAAATCACTTGTCAGTCACACACGGACGCACGCACGCACACGACACACACGCGCACGTACGCACATTCACACACACTGCGACTACGAATAAAATTTAGATGTTTCTAAGTTGCATAGTAATGTCTACGGCTCAACTACGCCATCGCCATCTCGACATCCTGGCAATACAAAGCGACGAAAGCTACAGAAGACTGAACACTCTACTAGAACGCTCAGAGCAGAGAAAGTGCCCGCGCGCAAACTCTTGCCAGTGCCATTAAAAATGTCTCACGAAAGCTCCGGCGTGTAAGCTACCAAACTGGTTTCCTCGTGAATACGTCCGATTACCGACAGCTGATAATTGACGCGGGCACGCACGCACGCACGCACGCACGCACACAAGCTTTACGGTGCCTTGAACCGGGTAACCTGTTACGTATTTTAGTATAGCAGCTAACAGAAATATTAAGGCCTAAGAAAAAAATAAGTTTGTTTCCGCTAACGAGCTGAAAAAATTGGACACGGTAGGCCTATTTTTTGGTATTCTAACAATACTTGTTTTATACTTATAACAGCGCATATAATGACTTCAGAGTCAAATCAATGCATTCACCGATCGATATCACGTTGGTTTTTTTGGTTTTTTTAAAATATTTTGTAAATTAAAAATAAAACGTTTCGACACGGGAGTTTAAAATGGACTCGGTCGGGTTAGCGGAAACAAACGTCTTTTTTTAGGACTAATGATATTCACGATATATATATATATGTGTGTGTGTGTGTGTGTGTGTGTGTGTGTGTGTGTGCGTGCGTGCGTGCGTGCGTGCGTGCGTGCGTGCGTGTGTGCATGTTTTTATCGGTTGCAGTGGTCACAGACAATTTAAACCTAACAACGTTTAGCTTATAAATACCAAATCGAACCACCTTACACGTTACAGTTCCAACACGTATAGCCAATCAAGCCTACCCGCCAGCCATTGTGAACACTACTTCATTAGTCCGCAACGTCGGAGTTATGATAGCTAAGGTTAGGTTAGGATAGGTAGCTAAGTTTTGGGTTGGGATGCTGATGTTGATAATGATGTAACTGTAAGGTTGTCTTGATGATAGCGGTATAACATAATTTAAAGTCCAAGCTTGTATAAGAAAGACGATAAAATTTACTATACCATGTGCGCACAAAAGAGACTTGCAGACAAATATAAAGAAACCCGCGCCAGCGGGGCGAGTGAACGTGCGTGCGTGCGTGCCTGCATACATGCATGTATGTATGTATTATGTGGATGCCGGAGCAACGCACGTTTCTGCGATCAACCGCGTGAACTTTTGCTAAAACGATTATACTTTAGAACATGAGGTTTCATTAGTGTCTTGTATAAACAGCAAACTCCGATCCGGTGAGCTAAAACGCTGCCGTCGTCAAGTATCAACATATGTTGAAACCCACCAGTAGTTATTGTTTAAAAAAACTAAAAGTCAATTACTATCAGCTGCTCAACGTTTGCTGCATTGCTAAGGAAAATGGTCGCCGCATAATGTGTTGATGTTACACAGATCCTCTCATCCTGATAAACATAAATATTATTGTTTAACAGGGTACGTTAACCCCGTGTTTTTTGTAAACGTAACAGCCTGGAGAGTATGTTTTCCGCAGAATATCACAGCAGAATATCACAGCAGAATTACCTTTCATATCATAGCAAAATAAGCTTTAAACAATCCCAAACTCTCGACAAAGCAACAACACTCAGCCACACTCTTGTGCTACCATATAATGTATCAGCATTCTGTCTGTGATTAACATGTTGGAATCACAATATTACAAGGGTAATTGACAAAATTACAACGATGTTGACAAAGAATTGCTGAATGAAACAGAGGTCACTATAAACAGTGGAGAATCACTGACAGCTTCTTACACAAAAGTTGTATCCCTCAAATAGTTGCTCACATAAATCAGTGGACACACAGCCACACGCCACTAGTGGCTTCAGCCAACTAGGAAGATTCAGATGCGGTTTACCACTGCAGTGACATCAGCAAAGAGTGAATGAAGAAAGGAAGCAGCACATCTACTATATATATCGTTTGCGAGATTATCCTGAGTGAAATCAAAACTTCATCCATCCTTGGCGGAGGCTTACACTTAATGCAGCGTCCTTAGCTTATCACTTCTATTTATTACACGATGCCGCTGTGACTAACGCATGCACATCAATGTCAGCATATATACATCCACTTTGAAGCATGCGGTGTCTGTGCACGTAAGAAATAAAATGGGGAAATTTCAGAGTGTGGAATTCTACTCGAAAATATAAAAACATGCATCAGAGCCTACCTTGGGAATTGTCGTGTCTTCCAAAAGTTCCACATTCGCCACTTCTTCGTGTAACGCGGTTCTCAGTGAGTTGCCGCCGCAGTTGACCGTTCGTGACTACTCGGTTGTTCACCAGCACACGGACCCCTTCTTTTGGCCGTCTCTATATCTCGCTCTCTTTCTTTCTATCTGTCTCTTACTTTATTTCTCGATCTCTCTCACGCTCTGTCTGTCTATCAAACTCCCTCTAACTCTCTCCCTCCCCTCTCTCTCTCTTTTCTATCTCTGGCTTCGGTCGGCACAGAGGAACAGAGTGCAATATATACTCGCTACCCGCTGAAGAAGCAATGTGAACCGATCCCAATCTCGCTTGCTCCGATAAAACGTTACGCCGCCAATGGTTTCACGCTCATATTTCCGCGAACATTCGCAGAGCTATAAACACGCTGGCTCGGTGCAGTTATAACAGGGGTAGAAACTTGCATCAAGCCTTGTTTACAATCACCACGGCAACGTCCGCCGCGCAATGTTGGCACGAGAATTAGCAGAATTCGATTTCGACGTAGGGATCATGTGACGGTTTTCCTCTCAGAGTGTTTCTGTTCTGCCGAGACTAGCACATCTAGGTTTAACACTGAAAAGCATCTGTAGTGAAGCATAGCATTCAAGAACACATGCACACCCACAGATACACTCTAAAACGAGAATCAAGGCGGAGATTTACCACCAACCGCTCATGGCCTCAGGGATAAGCAGCTCCCCTAATACGACCAAGATCATTCTCATGATAGTATGCGCCATCGCCTAAACACGCTGATTGAAACATCTACATGCTACTAGGAATGACTAGGCAACAAAGACCGACAATCGGATATGATCAATCCTAACAAAAAGTTTACAGTTCTGACAGAAGGAAAACCAGTCTAATTTTCCAATGCCAAGATACAACGTGCATTCTTTGTGTCACAGATCTCTGTATCAAGGAAGCAATCATTCATGATAACCATCGTATCCTCCAGCTCAGTTTTCGCTGCCGCTTCTATAATCATAGTTCACGTGAGAGTACGAGGGGGTAGAACTGCAAACCCGTGACATCGGCGTTCCTGGGACGAATACCCAGGAATGATAAAATTATATATATAAGAATATATATAGACTAGCACCAGTTGCTCTCAGCAGAGCTTCACGGAGATCTAGGATTCACGCTGGCAACTGACAACACATTCATGAGTGTAGCAGCAAAGGCATCACCGTCTGCAACTTTTTGCATACGTACGGCAGACGAGACGAAACTGCGGCCATAGACCTATTTTAAGAGCACCACCCCCGACCAAAACCTAACGTCAGGTTTCTCTGCCTTATAGTTATTCATTCAGACGCTCTTTTTCTCTCTCTCTCTCTCTCTCTCTCTCTCTCTCTCTCTCTCTCGCTCTCTTTCTCGGGTTTCCCTGAATGTCTGAGGTCATCATCCGTTCAAAGGAAACCAACACCGATCGTTGAGATTTGCAACGACATTGGAGACAAACGGTGATGTGTACTTATCGGTTGCAATTGCATTCTTTCTAGAAAAGCTCGGGATATTTATATCTTCTCCTTCCCAAAAAACAAGCCTCCCCAAGTATTAGCTGTGACCCCTGCCACATGTTTCAGTGACTATCGACCCAGGAGCATCTGCTGGTTACACATGAACGTTATATGACTTCGTGAAATTCACTACGTACACATCCAGGGTATCAGATTCAACCAACTAGATCGGCGAAGTCTGCCTCTGCGTAAACATGTGTAAGAAAACGGAGGATATGAACTTAACTCCACAGAATAAGTATTTACTTCCACTCGGGAGTAATAATACGGCCACTATGTTCAGTTTGTGGATCTGACAAATAACAGTTTGCTCCTGTTGCTAACATATAACAGCAGAATTTCGGCTTTGTTGGCATCAAAAGCAACAATGACATGTCATTACACTGTGTTATATACTAACCACAAAATCTTGCTCTAATCAAATTATCATGTTACTGACCTGTGTTACTTCCACACTCAAAATTGTATACATATAAGAAAAAAATGAGAAACTTACTCGTTCCATCAGCATCTGTTTTAAAGGGTGATATGTTCACATGAGATCAAATAGTTCTGCTGCTAGTGCTACCGTAAGTCCAATTCGGTCTGTAAGAAACGTACACAGTTATGACTATAACCAATAGCAAAGTGTCGATTCAGAACCGAAAATGCTTAACACTAACTGCATGTAGAGATGCTAGTGATCATGATGTTCTGTGGGTTCACACTTGACTCTCCTGTAATACATGGTATAAAAAAAATGCGCTAGAGTTGTGTGAAAATTCACTTGACATTCCCGCACAAAATCCTTAAAATCTATCCTCGCAGACACATTGATTTGTTTAGTATAATTATAAATACTACCTGCATAAATAAACGAGCCAGCCATACATACACTTCACCCTCGATTTAGACAGACTATAACAGACCCGACTTGGCAGACATCTGAAGCAACGGACAAAAAATCCATTGCTTCAGATCTATCTGTCCGTACCGGGAATAACTGGGGAACAAAATATCGGACAAGGGCGGCTGCTTCAGAAGTAGCAGTCCACACTGGGAACAATGGACCCAGACAGTTACTTTGTGCAGTGACCAGTAGCCAGCAACCTCACAGCGCCTCCGACTCAGAATAAATTTATTCTCAGGCCCCCACTATATGATCTGACATGGCAAAACAAACAGAGCTCTATGTATTCATGTATCTGTCACAAAAGGTAACTACCTTTTATTTACAATCATTTACAATGTTTATGTTTTTGTGTATGCTACTGTATTATGTATGTATAGTGGGTTTTATAAGAAAATATAACCCACAAATAACGATCCTAGCTTACCACATTCGAAAATACCAGACTATCGGCATTGCAGGACACCCCAACCCACCTATAGCTATTGGTCTGTTAACTCGAGGGTGAAGTGTGCTACTCAACCCTTGCTGTCTCGTATTATGTACTGTATTGCTCAAGGTTGTAGGGCAAGTAGCTTGAAGCATTATCCCAATATTCTACTAATAATGCATAATGATATAGATAAATGTTTAATTCAACATGCAGAAAGGCACAGGCAAACATGGATATCATTTTAGTAGCTAAACTTTCTGAGTAAACAATCGGTCGATGTTGCAACAGCCATGTGATACGTTTCATGAATCAGGAATAAGTGGGATTAGCAGGAAAATTAAATGGAGACTTTACAGTATTTCTGCTAATTACTTATAAATTCCAACCTTTAATGCTTATCGCATAATAATCAACACTTGTGACATACACGAGTCACATTTTTATAGGCAAATATCAAGATTTTAGTGTGGACCATGCACATAGCTACGCAAATATGTCTGTTAGAAATAGGATTAGAAATAGGACATTAGCGATAGTATATCACATTTTTTTCTACCTATATCCATGTAAGGTGGCAATAATATATTACACATCTAGCAGGAAGGCATTATGTTTCGAATAACCTGTTAATGTCTAGAGGCTTTAGTAAGATTAAGAATGAATTTAACAAACAATGGCACCAGTAGGTTGACACATATTTTAACATGAACGTTCAACCACAAATTTATATATATGTTTTGAATGTAGACAATGCTAACAATTTGTGTTTTTGTAACATAAGAAAATTTTACCATGCTGGCTATTTACATGAGGCATCAACATTAGAAAATTTTAACTTGATGTTTGTGTGTGGCCCTATATTACCATGTAGATTAGAATTTATTTGGCTGATAGGTGGCATGATTTCCAATGCTTGGTCGAATAGCAAACCCATATAAGTTTGAAATGTTCAGTCGCATATCCATGTTGTAAGGAAACTGGATTTAGATTGAGTAACACTATTAATTACAACAAGAGATATCCATCAGTTTCTACGGGCGGGTAAATTGCAAAAATTTCGTTACAATCGTGACATCTTGACATGAGAGTGAAATGAATTGATTCACTCACACCTCATGTAAGTTGACATGTATGTGTGATAGGGGGGCTAAACCTACTAAGATGCTTCTAAACAAGCATATAGTTAGCTAACATGAGTTAGCTATAGCAGTTTATTTGTTAGCATACCCAACTTTTACTTCGAAGGTACCCTGGTAACTATCTGATATGGTTAGGATTAGGGTTAGGGAGTAGGCGTAGGCGACTCCCTAGACTCGTTAGTGGAGTAGGCGAGGTACGGTCCGGTATATTAGATAGTACCAGCAGAGCATATAAATCACGTTGATTTATATGCTCTGGTACCAGGGTACGTTCCGGCAGTACGCTGGGGGACATAGACCCTCTCAGCATAAGTAAGACTCTAAGGCTAACTAGTGAATGGGACATTAACTACCTTACTATAGAGCAATTAAGTTAACTGATAAACAGTGACCAACTACTACTAGTACTACTACCAATACTACGTCTCCTACTATCAATAGGCAATATGGCCAATCATTCTGTCACATGTACCTGTAGCACAGATAAGGGCTATAACATTGGTAAAGCCAGGTACTCTGGTTTAATCTTTATAAGCATGTTATTTTCATTTTTAATGTTTTAAATACACTGTTATAAAGAAGGCTGATGTATACGTGCTGACATATCCACAGAGTATTGAATACATACAGGGCTGACACAATTGAGGCTAATCTCACACTCTCACTCTGGGTCTACTCATTCTCACGCATACAGAAACAAACAGATTAAAAAAATGAAGTATACTTTAGAGCATTTCAATTCGCTGAATGGTTCTAGCTCTCGTCCTTACTTGCTAATAAGAACAGCTTTATGTAAGTGAGTTTCGTCTAAGAAGCTGAAGGAGCAACTAACCTGATTAGCTAAAAACCCCTATCTATAATAAGCCTGCTCGTTCTGGTTCCGTTCCACTATACTATAGTAGCCTAAAAGCAGAACTACAGTGTATTGCATTACATACATGTGTATATATATTTAAAAACTCACTTAAGTATGCACCAGAATGCACAATTTCAAGCTGAAAAAATGCAAAAGCTCCCTGGTGAGGGTGTGCCCTCTGCCCACACCCTCCCCCCGCTCGGTCGCTCCGGTCCCTCATATAATCTCACTCTCGACTCTAGCCCCCCTGTTAGCCCCCCAGTTAGCAGCCCTGTACATAGTGACATAGTACATGATGTTTTAATCTGAAATGTAGATTAGTCAACTTACGTCTGAAGCCAAGCGTTAGCCTAATGCTCTCGACAATTCATAAATGCATATGAAACTCACTATGTGACTATCAGACAGCATCACTAAAGAACAGTAGACTGTAGAGTAGAGTAGAGTAGTTGGGACAACCACGATATATACATTGTACTGCTCCGAGGTAGTACTAGTTACTAGTAATATTTCTTCCCGAGTGGCCAACTCAGTAACCTATGCCTATGCTATGGTAATTCAAGTGATCCTCGTGGACTGATACTATCAGGAGTAAGATAATATAGGATCCATTTAAGATATATAATATAAGATAATATATTATCTTACTCCTGATACTATTACTACTATACAACTACTAGTGACGGCGATATTGATAGGCTACACACAGTCACACTGATTAATAGCACAGGCACTTGGAACATCTCAATAAAAAAAGGTAAATAAACACGAAATGTATTTACTACCAAAGTCTTAATGTTTCTGTAGTCTATGCAGGGTTCAACACTAACCCACATCCGACCGACCTAGTCGGGTAAATGCTTGGTCCGGTCGCATACAACCAGAGTGCTAGTAGCCCGACTGGTCGTGCTAGAATTGGTCATATAGTACTCGCACATAGTTACATGACATCATTTCACACCTTTCTGCCTTATAAGTCACATTTGTAATTACAAAATGCACAATTGTCACAATGTCAGTAGTGCAAGGCAAAACATCGAATCTTTATTACGGTGTTCGTGCTTAAAACAATACCTGTCAGTGTCAGGGCTAGTGGTTTTCCTCAGTAACTAGCCTGATGGTCTAGTGAAATAAAAAGTTAATGTTGAACCCTGACTCTATGTCGCCTATTATTGCCGATAATTACCCGTAAATGCCGGTCAAATGCTCATCTGCAACACACAAGTACACCGCACACCCACCCTGTGCACAAACAACATGAATAAGAGAGTCATTCATTCATTCTCTCTTATTCATGTTGTTTGTGCACAGGGCGGGCGTGCGGTGTACTTGTGACAGTTGTGTGTGGCAGATGAGCATTTCACCGGCATTTACGGGTAATTATCGGCAATAATAGGCGACATAGAGTAGAGAAACATTAAGATCGACTTTGGTAGTAAATACATTTCGTGTTTATTTACCTTTTTTTTATTGAGACGTTCCAAGTGCCTGTGATTAATAGTACGTGTCACTGTCAGTGATGCTCATGCTCACCGAGCGGGGGGAGGGTGTGGGCAGAGGGCACACCCTCACCAGGGAGCTTTTGCATTTTTTCAGCTTGAAATTGTGCATTCTGGTGCATACTTAAGTGAGTTTTTAAATATACACATGTATGTAATGCAATACACTGTAGTTCTGCTTTTAGGCTACTATAGTATAGTGGAACGGAACCAGAACGAGCAGGCTTATTATAGATAGGGGTTTTTAGCTAATCAGGTTAGTTGCTCCTTCAGCTTCTTAGACGAAACTCACTTACATAAAGCTGTTCTTATTAGCAAGTAAGGACGAGAGCTAAAACCATTCAGCGAATTGAAATGCTCTAAAGTATACTTCATTTTTTTAATCTGTTTGTTTCTGTATGCGTGAGAATTAGTAGACCCAGAGTGAGAGTGTGAGATTAGCCTCAATTGTGTCAGCCCTGTATGTATTCAATACTATGTGGATATGTCAGCACGTATACATCAGCCTTCTTTATAAGTGTACTTAAAACATTAAAAATGAAAATAACATGCTTATATTAAAGATTAAACCAGAGTATACCCGGCTTTACCAATGTTATAGCCCTTATCTGTGCTACAGGTACATCATCATGTGACAGAATGATTGGCCATATTGCCTATTGATAGTAGGAGACGTAGTATTGGTAGTAGTACTAGTAGTACGTAGTTGGTCACTGTTTATCAGTTAACTTAATTGCTCTATAGTAAGGTAGTTAATGTCCCATTCACTAGTTAGCCTTAGAGTCTTACTTATGCTGAAAGGGTCTATGTCCCCCAGGGTACTGCTGGATCGTACCCTGGGTACGGTCCGGTATACCGGGACGTACCCTGGTCACTATTTGATATGGCATAGATATATACAACACATCATATATATGTATATATCTATTGATATATCTATCGATAGTTGTATGTTTCTATCGATGGTTGTATATATCTATGAATATGGTTAGGGTTAGGGTTCGGGTTAGGGTTAGGGAGTAGGCATAGGCGACTCCCTAGACTCGTTAGTGGAGTAGGCGAGGTACGGTCCGGCATATTAGATAGTACCAGGGTACGTTCAGGTATACCGGACCGTACCCAGGGTACGTTCCGGCAGTAAACTCGCGGCTAGGGCCTGCATACCTCCCAACGTACCATTGGGTGATACAAATCTAGTTAATTTTTTAAATTAAATTGTAATTAGTGTTAGGGTTAGGGTTAGGGTTACCGGTTAGGGTCACAATACACCCATTGACAGTTCTGCGCCTATGTTCTGCGCCATTAGTTACGCATCTCCGCGAGAGCCCGGATGTGCGAGTAAACTCCGCAATATTGTTTATCTCGATGCGTTATCTGCCTTGCATACGCAGGTCGCTCACCTTTGTGTCGAAGAACAGTGCACGTAGCAGGGAATACACGTTAACGCCATTGTTCGCGCATTTTACTCGCGCTTTCTGAGACGGAAACTCCTCCCGACCTTTGACCTTAGGCTAAGCGCATGCGCAGTGTTAAACTGTCAACGGGTGTATGCACCATAAGTTTTATTAAAACAGGAGTTTCAGGCACGTGATTTGTATCAACCAATAGGATTTGGGAGGTATGCAGGCCCTAGCTGCGAGTCGGCAACTACCCGGGGTACATAGACCCTCTCACTCTCAGCGTCACTCCGTCAGTGATATGAATTATGAATCATGGACATGATAGGGATTTGATTTGAATTTTGATACACACACTCACAATTAATCGCTGATATATAACCACTCGTTAACTGGTAAATTTGAGTGACACGTTCAAAATTAGTGCATTAATTTGTGTTATAGTTGAAAATCAATTATAAACGCAAAATAAAGCAAAAATATTTAATGCTAATCGGCGAATCCACGAGCAATATAAGTTTTGTTGACAAACCTCAGTCAAAACCACAGTCGAATTCGCCGTAGTCTAATTAGACGTAATACTATTTTATATTATTGGTGATATGTAGGCAGGATTTTTTTTATAAATAATAAAAATATTATTTACATAGAGGATTTTAAAATATATATTATTATTATTAAGTGAAAATATATTGCGAAAACTAGTTATCTTTATGCTGATTGGCTCACGACTAACCCGATTGTAAATATGGCAGCCTCTGCAAGTGCGAAGACGAAGCGTTTTAAAAACGGTACATGCAACTTTATCATTAGTAATCAGAAAAGATTGAGTTTCATAAACATCTAGGTAGATAAGCTGCTTTTCTCTGCTTTAGATTCTGCACTGTATGCTTGAGACAAGGCATACTGTAGATGCAATCAGACAATCCATCAGTCACGGTGTCGCTTTCCCCCATTCGTAAACCGACCAGGCTCTCCGACTAGTTACACGGCGCGAGTTACACCCTCTCGCCACGTAGTGTTAAGCGAGATGGGAACTTGTGGCTACCCCATTCGTAGCTCTAGTACTACTACTACTAGTACTACTACTAGTACTAGTAGTAGTACTACTACTAGTAGTAGTAGTAGTAGTAGTAGTACTAGTAGTAGTAGTAGTACTAGTAGTAGTAGTACTAGTACTAGTAGTAGTAGTAGTAGTAGTACTATAGCCCGCGTACAGTTGCCACTGGCAGCTGCCAGTACTGCTGATAGGGTCTATGTCCCCCAGGGTACTGCCGGAACGTACCCTGGGTACGATCCGGTATACCGGAACGTACCCTGGTAACTATCTAGCTGACATGGTTAGGGTTAGTGTTAGGGTTAGGGTTAGGGAGTATGTGTAGGCGACTCCCTAAACTCGTTAGTGGAGTAGGCGAGGTACGGTCCGGCATATTAGATAGTAGTATTCAGTACCAGGGTACGTTCCGGTATACCGGACCGTACCCAGGGTACGTTCCGGCAGTACCCTTGGGGACATAGACCCTATCAGCGCCAGTACTAGTAGCCAGTGGCAACTGTACGCGGGCTATAGTACTAGAGCTATCCCATTCGCAGCTAGGTCCTGCAATCTGCATACCTCCCAAATCCCATTGGTTGATACATATCACGTGCCTGAAACTCCTCAGTCCTCAGCCCTAACCCTAACCCTAACACTAATTACAATTTAATTTAAAAAATTACCTTGAACTATATTTGTATCAACCAATGGCTATGGGTGTTGGGAGGTATGCAGGCCCTAGCCGCGAGTCTTTCCCCGGGCGTAGATGGACAAGATGGCGTCGATGGCGTAGATCATACTACTATTAGTACTAGATGCTTCAAAGTTCAAATCTTCCACAGAAAGATTCCACAGTCATACTTTCGTGCTAGACATGGCCTTATTTCCCTAACCCTAATCCCAACCCTAACCCTAACCCTAACCCTAATCCGAACACAAGTGCAGCCACATCACGTGACCGTCCATCTACGCTCGGGGGGAAAGTGTTCCCCATCAGTCACCACGTAGCGAGTTCGTACTCGTTCTCATAGTTAGCCAAGGGGTTGTGTGATGTCACAGGTCACCAGGTCATTCGTGACAAAAATCGGTGAAATCTCGAGTGCGGCGTGCGCTCTCGGCTCAGTAGGCCTACGTATATGTGCATGTATTCTTTGTACGCACGCACGCAGGCACACGTGCACAGGCACGTGTATGTGCACACGCACGCATGCACGCACGTGTTACGTTAGATACAATAATGTAACCCAACAAGAGTAGTGTTACAACGCGAGCCTATTCTTTTCTTTGGAGGAACCCCTGAGTGATTCACTCAGGGCAGTTTTATGGTGCATTTTCGAGACTACAACTTCCAAACTGGGTTTATTCTAAACACGAACCTTTCTCCGTTATCCTGGGACTTACTATGTATCACAATACTCTGTATTAAACTATTATAACCTGTTACAAAAGTTCGAAGTGACGAGCGGCGATATTTTGAGCGTCATTTCTGTTTCCAATGCGCATAGCATTTGGCTAACTTCGACTCCAAGATCGAATGTATCATCCATGGGATGCCTGCTGTCAGTCATGACGTCATGACGAAGTTAGCCGAACGAGTCGAAGCAATCAAACAGGTTCGAGCGAATTTTGGCAGCACACTTTTCTACCTGCTATATATATTTATGTGTCAGTGTGCAGCGGCAGCCAGGGTTTGTTGCGGATGAGCATTTGGACGGCATTTACAGGAAATTGTCGGCAATAATAAGTGAAAGAGAGTATAGAAACATTAAGACTGGTAGTAAATATATTTCGTATTTATTTAGCATTATATTTTATTGAAACGCTCCAAGTGCCTGTGCACGCGAAGACTGTAGCATTACAACGACGCAGATGCATGCGTATGTGTACTGTGCGGTCGAAATACGAAATGTTTTTCACAAATGACCTGACCCTGAATAATTCATGGCAAAGTTTGCGCATGCGCAGACTGTAATTACGAACTCGCTTATAGTTTTAGTCTAGATTACCCTTGCCTTAGTCGTATGCTGTGCCTGTACTGTAGCTCATACGCTTTAGACTCTTACGCTTTAGCCCATCTTAGCCTGTCCAGACCATACTGCGTCAATGCACAGCCTGACACCCACCAGTGGGAAATCGTCTACCTTTGTAAAACCTGGTAAATAACTGCGTATATCTCTCAAAGAAAATCATGATCTTGTTCAAATCATTATCATTATGCTTTGTCTTAAAATCTACTATCAATGTCATCATCTTTTATTGGTGACAGTAGTGTTAGTGGTGGTGATAGTAATAGCAGGAACATGTCTATAGTATATTATACAATATCTGTAGATATGTTCATGTGATTCCTGTATTACACATGTTCTACTTTTGTTCTGTAATGGAATGCTGTCATACAGAAAATGTAAACAAATTTATTTTCTTTATCGGACAATGTGTATGATTTTGAGCCGATTTGTGCCAGACCAATTAATTTCTTGCCAGTCTTAATAAATACTGTGGAGTCGGTAAATGATGAGGGCCCGGTTCTGGGGAAAACAGTGTCACATAATAGGGTCCAGAGCGCATGTAAATTCTGCCGGACCTGTCTGAAAAAGGTATTCGGTCTGACAGATTTGACAAACTGGTCGTTTTCTGCTGTCATGGTTCCAATAATAGAGTTAGGGTTAATGTTATGGTTACAGTTAAAATTAGAGTTATGGTTAGGGTTAGGAATTTTCCTATTTAGCAAGATTACTGGTTGCGAGAGCCCATAAATGGCCATCATTTGAAAGCTTATGTATGGATTGCTGAACGTAGTAAGCATCCATGGGTATTATTTATTGTTATGACTCCATGTAATAAATGGTTTGCAATTTTTATTATAGATAATGTTGTCTACAATTCTGTGGCTATCCGGAATAATGCAGCTGTCATTGACTATTGTCGGACATCGCTCTCAGCTCTCTCCGGATGTACGGCTGGAATACTAGGACTTACTGGTCTTAATGGCTTCATCTTTTACTTTGTGACAGCATTATGTTTATCGGTAAGCAAATTATCTATCACTAGACGTATTCATCAGTGAATTATTGTATGAAATAAAATTATACGCATTCACACCGCAAGGGTTCTTATTCCATTGCATTCATTCTCCCACACATTTTTATATATGTAAAATCATAATGGATATGTGCGTAATTAAAGGGTGTGTTAGGCTAATATTTTGCTATTACATGTGCTATTTAGTTTATGAACAATGTATAAGTTGTTTTGTGCTTGTTTAGGTAGTTCTTCTCATGAAAGGAGGTAATGATTGGAGTCGCTATTTCATGTCGAGAACATCATTGGCATCTAATGGATTGCTTGGAGGTTTATTTGTATCCTTTTCATTCATTTAGAAGTTATTAATACATGTGTCATTATCTCTCGTATTTCAGTAATTTGATAATATAATTCACGAGGGTGAAACAATTTATCAGATGACTATCTCAATGTTGGTGAAAACGTCATGTGCTAATTTGGTTATGATTATCCTCTCCAGGTGGAGCCAGTGGCACTATAGAAATGCTTTTGGAACAATATCTTTCTTTTCTTTGATTATGGTGTCTAATCTAGCCTAAGTGACTACTGCAAATTTTATGCCTTGGTCTGTCTAGACTAATTGGTTCGCAACGCGTAAACAAAGCAATCACTTGGAGTTAATTTTGAAATTCTTTTGCTTTTTGGTTTGTTTCATAGTATTTTGCATGTTACTATTGTTAGTAGCTATGCTGCTTTTAAAATGAACTACTATGGTCTTACCATATGTTAACTGGAGTAAGATTATGTGTAGTTTTAACCAAGCTTCTAACTAAGAAATGGCAGTGTATCATGATGTACCATGAATACCATGATTTACCCATGTAAGTGGTTAAACATTATTTTATGAAATGTCCCATAATGGTGGGGTTAAGTACAATATTAGGTCACTGTATCACCATAGACTAACAATATCAAGAAATAGCACACAGGATACAATCAGTAGTTAAATTAGTTACCAGATATGCAATAGCGCCACCTGGTGTTATGTTCGTTCTCCAGCTGAATCTGTAATTGTAATGATGGAAGTGGCACTGATATCACTCCTTATTTTTAATTATGATTGTTTTGATGATAATAATATTTAGACAAATTCACTAAAAGTTAAGAACCTCGGCTAGAAAATTAATTTAATTTGATAAAAAAGAAAAAAGCCTAGTGTTTATGATTTTATTCATTTATATTCAACCATAAAAATTTGAACAGGTACATGTAGCATACAGGTACAGCCCCAGTAATTAATACTAATAAAGTGCTGTATATATATACACAGTAATTTATTGGTGTAATTATATAGTATATATATATATATATATATATATATATATATATATATATATATA